CACTTACTCTTACTTTCTTTTGTGAAATCCAAACCATGATGAACACGAAACGACAATTGTACTAAGGATACGATAGTATTTTTAACAACCGAGACTATCTTTTTCGTCAAAATAATCGGACTAATATTTAAAGTAAAACACGTTCATTTACGTAGACACAGACTAACCAACAGAAGTAGACTTCACATCCCATTGTAAATTTTGAAGCTCGTTTTTCGTGTCTAGTTCATGTCCGGTGACACTGATCGCTAGGGTCGGTGGAATTTTGTTCAAATTATTTTAGGCTTAATTTCATGATTTGTGCTCAACTGTTTGGTTAACTAGGGGGCGAGTTATTGTTTATGATTGGATCGTTTTATTTGGTTAAACGAAGTTTTAAACGACTGGAATGAAAAATAACCACTAACTGTAAACAAAACACAGTTATATTTAAAACACAACTAATTATATTTTATTAAATATAACTAATAATATAACACAATAATTATTCCTCCACAACAATACAACTATCGTTTGAATCAATCAATATTTGCTATTAATTTTGAACTAAATTACATAATTTTTCACATACATAAAAATTACAGTTAATTTGTATCACTCCGGTCGTCACATCTGTAACATTTTAATCTCAAATATTGCACCGTTTCAACTAATTTCCTCTAACTACTCTCATTTACACTTGCCTCTATGAAGTGTGCTGGCTCCAGACCAAAGTCTGGCTACATTAACACTTTTTACTGTCGGCGCCGCCGTGTCTGGCCCTAAAATGTCACATAAACCAAGCTTTAAGCAATCAGGGAAATTTGTTTAGTTGTTATCTTGTTTGCTGATTAAGACTTACTGGATCAATGGGAAACCAGATATACTCGTATATTGTTGCACAATCGTCTGGTATGGTTTAAATGTTTTGAAGGGTTTTCATACAGCACGAATGACATTTATTTGGACTATTATAATGGTTTAAAGTGAAGTGACTAATAATATAGTTTACCATTTTTAGCTGGTATGGCAATACAGTGATCGCCTAACAATCAGGTCTGAAAATTTCTGGTCCGATCCTGAGAAAAGTCAGTACCTGTTCTTGACCATAGGGTTATATACAAAATCTCGTGGCAAAAGAGAAAAACAGCTAATCTTAGTCATTGAAAAACAAACAATGAGCTAGAAATTCAACTTGAAGTAGCACTGACATGGCAACTGCTGGAAAATAGAGTCGCTGATATGCTGTAATGTACTGTAATCTGCTCATAGGCTCATAGCTTTAGGTATGTAAACCCTACAATCATCTAGTTCAAATGTACTTAGTATCATGTACTTTATCCTCCAGTTCAATTTTCGCCAACGTATCATATACATTGCTAACTCTAGTTGTATCTCTAGGTCAGTTGGTGAAAGCCCAGAGAAGTAAGGTATACAGAAAGGAAACGTGATTATGGAACAGCCGTGCGCTTTTAGCTCGGGAATGGTGGGGCATAAATATACTAGTACCGAGCCAGGGAGAGTCCGAAGAGCTATTGTTTTATTGTTTACAACAGCTGTTGTAACACACATGCTCTTCATACAGTGTGAGCACTATAGTACGTGATAGTGAGGGGGAGTGAAGAGCGGAAGGGGACGGCCAATAGATTTGAACTAGACACAAGTAGTCCAGTCGGCAGGTAGAAAAAAGAGGTGTTAGATGGAAAAAGGTCGGAAGTTATTGAATCTTGGGGATGTTGTTCAGGACTAAAATAAATCAACATTTTCCCAAGTTTTGGACCTCGAGGACCCTGTGGAAAAAAGAGGGTGGGGGAAAAACTTCAAAATTTTCGGCATTTTTTCTTTTATCTCAATAACTTTTTTCTCTTACTTCCTACCGAAAAAGCGTAGCTTACACTTTTGTTGAGCGTTAAATTTCCTACAATTCTATATTTCAAACATGTTTGTACGATAATTTGTTACCGAGCAATAGTATTTTTATTTTAATTTATTTTTAAAAAATCCACCAAAATATGCAAAAAAGCAGAATTCCAACCAATTTTTTCTGTTCAACACAAACTATCACGAAATTTTGAAGTAATTATAGTTCCAAGTTATAAGCACCCTCTCTGCATACACCCTCCCCCCACTCACCCAACCCCACTAGCCACCCTTTCCAAACCCAACCAGAATTATCAAAAGCTAATTTTATCCTCCGATGAAAACCAACCATATTCAGATCTTGTTGGTATTGATATTAGTTACTCTTCAGAGCTGAGGTGTTATCATGACCACCGCGTGGAGGAAAGGAGCAGCAACCTGGAGAGTAGAGGACAGGGATATCTGCCTCTTCCACTTTTATGAAGATAGACTATATTTGTGTTAGTTCATAACATAATGCTGTTGACAGAATAAGTATGTATACATCTTGAGAAGTAAAAACAACGCTGTCGAATTCGCTAGCCTTGGATATGGCAGTGATGACGATGATCACGTAGGCGTCCTCATATACTTGCTTCACTTCTATGCTAGCATCCGCCATTGGTGTCATTATTATAGATATAAATGTGCTCTAGTTGTTATCGTTTGTTATGAACTTTTCTTGTGGTATAGTCACCACAGTAGATGAGGAGAACACGACTTTGGTTGCTGACTCTGTTAATGCAGTACGGTGAAATCGTTCTGCGGCTTTGGTGCTTTTATAGCCAGCAATATAGGGGTATCCATAAAATACAACAATCACTTGGCCCCGAAAGTGCTTCTGCACGTAGTTGATGTACTTAGAATACAGCATCTCAAACGTGGTTGTAGAAGTTTTGTTCCACACAACTTTATGTAACCTCCATCCTTTAGGAGGATACCTTTTGGTATCCTCCATTAATTACGTTAAATTTCCTGTTGACAAGGTTTACTTTCTCTATAGGAATGAAGAGTGTGTACATTACAGACTTTGTTCTCTTGCGCATTCCTTCCTCGGTAAAGATTGATATAGGGAAGGGGTTGAGTTTAAAGTTAAAGAGCTTATTTATATATTCCTCAGATCTTTTTGCGATACAGACACACTGGAAAAGAGTGAGAGAATCGACAGTGAGTCTTTTACCAGCAATTTCAACGAGCATGAAACGGAAGTGAGATTCACGACCTTATACTTCTGTGTAAGTTTAAATTCCATAAAATGTTCACTCACCATTTTCTGAACATCACCATTTTCTTCATGCATGATATCCCTATCTCCCGTGCTAAGTGACGGTTAACTTCGTCATGACCAATGATTCATGTGCTCAAATAAAACTCCTGGATGTGAGGGAATTGGGGATGTTGTTAACTATGCGAGCAGTTTATCAAAGTACATGTTTTCTCTCACTACATGGGTTGGTCTCAAGTCTAAATGCTGCTCAGATGTCTCTGAGCGAACATCAGCGAACAATTCTACCTGGTCACAAATGCGTTGAAGACATAGCGTGCCCAATGTACATATGGAAAGCACAGAACGCTTACTCCGCGTCCACGAATGAGTCCTCCATAGCTCCTCATAGATCGCGTGAAGAGCATTTCTGGTAGGCTACCTACCAAACGAGACTAAAACTAATACATAACAGTTATTAACTGTAAGCTACACTGCGCGGTGGTGCGGCAACACGGCAGAGTATATAAGGCAAAAATGAGTGAAGACAGAAAAGAAACATCTAACGACCTTGCAGACTGATGGATGTGATGCTGATAGTATGTATACATACATACTAATCAATTACAATTGTAAAATATTCTATAATCCGTAGAAGATAATGTAATATTGTGGTAGTGTAGAACCATGGGGGGGGGGGTGTAGGAAGCCACCTTGGTCAGGTGAGTGAGGGGTAGGTGGTATATGGGGGGGTATCCAGAGATGGCTCTTATAACTAGGAACCATAATTACTACAAAATTTGGTGATAATTTGTGTGTAATAGAAAAAAATAAGTTGGAATTCCGCTTTTTTCATATTTTGGTGGATTTTTTAAAAAATACATAAAAATAAAAATAATATTGCTCGGTAACAAATTATCGTACAAACATGTTTGAAATACAGAATTGTAGGAAATTTAACGCTCTACAAAAGTGTACCGTATGCTTTTTCGGAAGGAAGTAAGAGAAAAAAGTGATTAAGATAAAAGAAAAAAAACTTTTTCCCACACCCTCTTTTTTCCACAGGGTCCTCGAGGTCCAAAATTTGGGAAAATGTTGATTTATCATCCCTGAACAACATCCCCAAGTGTCATTAACTTCCGACCTTTTTCCATCTAAAACTACCTGCTGACTGGACTAAAGCGGCTGGTGCTAGACATGACTGAAGTGTACCATTGACTGTTTTCTTCGTATCTTACTTCTCTGTGGTGAAAGGAGCACATGTCACCTCACTCCATTCTACATTCTACATTTCTATATTGCATTCGTAATGTAATCCACGGTCTCACTTATGTTTATGTTCAGATAGAGGGTGAGAAAACATAATGAACGTTAAAAATATCATGGAATTCCAATCGCATAGGATATAAAGCTGATTTGAATGGGATTAAGCAGTTGCGGACTTGCCTGCAAGTGAGGCGGACTACTGCATTGCATGATGGGATTGATATGATATAATGGTGAGTGCATGACTAGTTCTCCCCCCTCCCCCATACGATTTGCATATAACGGTCCATCAATTCACTCCCTTCGTCTTTCTCGGCTGTTGAAATGTGTTTCGTACATTTAATTATTTATGTGATGAACAAAGTGATAATCTTCAGTCACTTCAACTCAATTAATTAGGATAAATACGTTGACAAGGGCAGCAAGGGCAAATGTTTAAGTTGAACATGAATATAATTATTGTTACTTGTAAAATTTATGAGGTATTCATTGAGTTATGCAGTTCATTCAATTACATTTTATAATTCAATTTATTATAAAAATATATAATATTTTGGGATCCAATGCTGCATGTATTTAAGACTTTCGTAGCTTTGGATTTGTAAAGCAACTGCTCACAAATGCTTATAAATACAGCTGTTACAATGTTTAGATCACTTAATTGTTTTGCCGTCGCATTTTTGTTACTGAACTTGTGTTTTTTCTACTAGCTGTAAATAGCCTTTACCGAAAACAAAAAAATGAGCAAGTTATACATAGGAAACCTACCAGCGGACATAACTGAGAACACAATAAGACAACTGTTTTCTGAAAACAACTTGCCGAGCAAGTCCATCTTGATCAAGCGAGGAGGGTACGCTTTCGTGGACTGCTTGGACCAATGCACTGCGGACAAGGCGATTGATCTGTTGAACGGGTCTACCTTCATGGGAGCACAACTAGTGGTCGAACCATCAGTGGCTGGTACCACACCAGTCCTGCCGAAGAACAAAGTACAAGAATCGACAGAAGAGAGCAAGAGCAACGGAAATTGATGGATCAACATGAATTGCCCGTATAATATTACAAAAAGGTAAACTCAACCTTATGTTTAGCTATGTACTTTCTTCTGTATATTAAACAGTTTTTTTCTCTATAGTTTGTCAAGTTTATATGCTACTAGCTTCAATGTGTAGAAGTTATTAAGCTTTGGGGGGTAAATCATCCCCAAAATCCTCACTCGAAAGTCTCAAGAGCTCTCATGTTTATGGGCAAACTATGGGGTCTGCGCTATCAGGGGGCGCCATGCGGGCTTACAGATATTAGTGTTCTTAACTCATCGTAACACGCAGCATACACTTTATCGCTTTAATTTATGTTTCTTGTTTTATGGGTCTTTTGGTGTTTGCAGTGTTTCGCTTAAGATATCGCTACAGTTTCGCAAAGTTTGACAAAAATAAAACCACGTACCAGCGGATTTCTAAGTGTAGACATCTTTTTCTACGATTAAATTATTTAAGAAACAAAATTTACTGGTTCACATGGATATAAAAATGAACGCATTGTATACAATAAATATTTATTTTATATCTTATTAATCAGCATTGTAATATTAAATTGAATGTCTGTGCTTAACATGGTCTTCAGTAACAAAGCTTCATTTCATTTCATAGAAGATCTTGTTCCTTAGAGGTAAAAGGAAATATATAAACAAAGGTAGGGATGAGGTTAAATAAAAAGGGACGGTGGACCGTTCCCGGACAATTCTTCCGGAACGTTAACTCCAGATATTGCTTTCAGCCATCCCGAGGCTGCCTCTCCCCATGCATTTTCATAGAGGGCGGTCTTTTCTCTATCCTACTATGAGGCCTTGGTGGTCATTTACATAATGTCTAACTATATCAGTCACATTAAAATGTAAGTAGTAGTTTATACCGCAAGAAGAAACAACTACTTTCCTTCTTTTAACTGTGCTAGGTTATATGCAGTAGGACGTGGGGAAAATCTTATGTTTTGCTAAGAACAGGTTCACATACACATCGAAATGAGTCCCCCCTCCTACAAAACGTTCTAGTTGTCGACCTAAAACCTAGAACTAATCTTACTAAGTACAAGTTCTGGTAGCACAGAGTTGAAAGCAGAAGCTAAGTTTTAGTTAGTAAGAAGGGTTAATTAAGTGTTATTAAACGTCTGACTATTTGTATTGTACTGATTCAACTTGACAGAGTTCAATAACAGCTGTTATGCTAGTTCACGCTCAATCGAACATGGACGAAGTAAAACTATTCGTCATGCTGCAACAACAAATAGTATACAGTTCACAACAAGAGTATGAAGTGAGTCATTACATATTTGAGACCATGTTTGAAGTGCGAGAAAGTACTTTAAATGTAATTTAAATAAATGGTCGAGAATATGTATGGACCCACTTTTACTCGTGTTTTGAACGTTACTTTTCGCTACACTACAGAGAATAATTATTTTCTTCATTACAAAACTCATAGAATTTTTTAGGTTAGCCTATGACTTCATTTTAAAGTTATTGTATAGCATGGCATCATAGACAAATAAAATCTATTTGTTTATGATGGCATTTACTTATTGTTCAACATATTTATATAACAGATTGTAAAGTAAACAAATAAAAAAAAAATTACTTTAGTTGTTGAAAATTCAGTTCAGTCAGTTAAAACTGTGTATAAATCAGAACAGCTAGCTTACACGTATAAAGACAAATTTTATGGCAGCCTACAGTAGAAAGAGTAATTATCAATTGAGAAAGTGTATAATAGGCCTAGTCAACGATATCACCTTCCAATTCCATCGCATACCTGCCTCTTCCATAATCAATATCAACACAATACAATTACTCATACTATACACAATTTCCAGTAGGTCTGAATAGAAACTCCCTAAAATAAAACTAAAACATCCAATAAAATTCACAGTACACATAATTATAACGTTGGTGTGTGTCCTGACATCATTAAACGAATCGTCCACACATATCCTTTATATAAATGTCACTGCATCAATTGCTAAATAAATAAGTGTAAACAAAGACAAGTAAAAACAACAACATATAGTTTGTTTTGGTAAACATCTGAGTCAAAAAAAAAATTCATTTGAACAAAAGAACTGGTCACATGTTGAAGGAACTTAAACCGTAAACACGCTAGTAGAGCTAGTGACGTAATTAATTGTCTATGTATATTATCCATTCCTTTGTCAGTTCTAATATCCTTGATAATTAAACCACCCTCATTGAATCAATGTACATCGTAATCCCCCGTATTCATTTATTGAAACTATAAAATATTCAGCGCTTCCAAACGTAACCACAACTAAACACACGCCAAAAAACTTTTAAGATTTCATAAAAGGATGGTTAGTCTAATTGCAGTACTGTATCCTAGGTCAATGATGACGTTGTGCTCAATCTATGTCATTCATCGGTTCATCGGTTATGTATATCTTTGGATAAAACCCGTCTGGGTTGTGGTGGTAATTTAAAATTTTATTCCTGAGGATTCTTGATCTCCTTCTTTATGACATCAATATTTCCGGGCCTAATCCAAACAATGTTTAATAATTCAAAAACATTGATTGTAAACAAACCAACATGAACTAAAAGTGTAAAAAATTGATTTTCCTACCCTTTCCTAAAAAAGTTGAGCAGTATAATAATTTGCATATCCTTTTTTTAAGACTCGTGTACAGAGCCTCGACTTGTATACATCGATAGTGTTACTTTTCTCGGTGGTATACTAATCTATATATTAGTTTGAAACTGTTTTTCTTTGTGACAGCTAATTTGAGAGAACGGCTGGGTGTAGAAACTCGGTAGGGGTCACTAAAGCTGGGTTTTCCAAGGTGCGGAATCGGCCAGCGGAGAGAGGAACGCGGAGAGCGGACTCCACTTGTCTTAGGCAATTTAATGTTACTGTTTTCCTAGAAGCGGAGCGGAATGCCATGTTAATTTCAATTCCGCTCTCCGCGTTCCTCTCTCCGCCAGCCGACTCCGCGCCTAGGAAAACCCGGCTTAAAGCTGGGTTTTCCTAGGCGCGGAATCGGCCAGCGGAGAGAGGAACGCGGAGAGCGGACTCCACTTGTCTTAGGCAATTTAATGTTACTGTTTTCCTAGAAGCGGAGCGGAATGCCATGTTAATTTCAATTCCGCTCTCCGCGTTTCTCTCTCCGCCAGCCGACTCCGCGCCTAGGAAAACCCGGCTTAAAGAAAGGTCTTGGTCTGTAGATGAGCCATCAAAAGAGAAACGTGGTAAATTCCCTTGGGGCTTTGCCCCAGTGGCCTTTAAATTCCCATCCCATGTTATTCTTATGGAGGAAAAACGGGGTTTTGTCACAGCTAATTACAGAGAACGGCAGGGCGTAGAAACTTGGTAGTGGTCTCTAAAGAAAGGTCTTAGTTTGTAGATGAGCCATCAAAAGAGAAACAAGGTAAATTCCCTTGGGGATATGCCTAGTTCTCAAAATTATCTTTCTTACAACACAAAAATCATGAAAATCCGTCGAGTGGTTGATTCAGAATCGTGAAATAAAAAAAAACAATGTTTCGTTTTAATATTATAGATTTGAAATTGTTGACACTAGAAAATTTTTGGTTGTAAACAATGTTACTTTCGGTAGTAAACAATAGACAGCTGTTGAAAATATAATGTTTTGCAGGTTGTAAATACATAACGAAAACAGCTCAACTCATAGTAGTGTAGTGAAAAAACGGGTTTTGATAGATGCGTTGCGGCTTTACAGTATCTTGTTTACTCCTAAGTGAGTAAAAATACTTTTAGCTACACTACCGTGAAATAACCTGTTTTCGTTCCATGTTTATCACTTGCAAAAAATCATCATTACATTATTTACTACGGCTAAAGAATTTTTACCAAGCGAAAGTTATGTTAACCATTATTTTTTTATTTAGCCCACGTAAACAAACAATGAATTTTCAAAAACCAAAACTGTACAACCAAAAGTAACTATTAACTATTGAAAGCATAACCTAAAAATGCTAAGCGTTTTGTCATGTTCCTAATTGTAATTAAGGAATATCCAATTTCTGTTTTAATTAAGAAAATAATAAGTCTTTGTAGTGTAGTGAAAAGTAACGCTCAAAACACGACTGAAAGTGGGTCTATACATATTCTCGACCATTTAAAGTGCTCGATAAATCTCACACTTCAAACATGGTGTCAAATAATATGTAATGGCCCACTTTCTACTATTGTTATAAAAATTAGTCCAGATAAGGAAAAGGGCAGTAAGAAGTTTTAAACTTCGGTTGTAAGCAATCCCATGCATTATTTATCGATTTATTTAATAGGCTGTGCTTATTGTTACATGCGTGTCAGAAGTTCTTCATATCGAGGGTATAATGTACAGCACGATTAGTTAAACAGAACAGTCTGGATCAGTTCAAGTATTCGTGATGTACTACAATAGTAATACAAGTGTACGCTGTTGTAATACAACAGTAATATGCGAAATTATTGAATCACTTAATAAACAGCTGCTAATTTTTGAGAGGTTATCTTTACATGAAAAGTATTTTCGTTTTATTACTTGTTTTGTCAGTAAATGTAGCGATATGACAAAAAATATAGTTAATCAGTCGGCAAAAAATGTGTTTCGTCACTCTGCAGACGAAATACATTTTTCCCCGAGTGGTGAACTATATTTTTTGTCATATCGCTACACTTACTGTCAAAACAAGTAATAAAACTAAAATACTTTTCATGTATAGATAACCTATTGATGAAATACAGGGTAGCTGAAAATCAACTTACACCCCCCCCCCTTAACATTTCAAAAATTTGAGATATTTGAAATCTGTTTGCCGAAATATTCTTAGATATGAGGGGCTACAATAATTATGGTAAATTTCGAAAATTTCGCCCTTAGGGGTAGTGGGTGTAGGGAGTGGCTCATAAATTTCAAATGACGAGTATAGTTGAGTTTTGTTATCATTTTACAGGTCTTGACGAAACATAACAATTGACATAAAGAAAACGAAAATTGGCTCACTAATAATAAAATGGCACCCTAAAACGTTTCAAATCCAAATAATCATGAGGGTGGCTGAAAATTAACTTGCATCCCCTTTAACTTTTTAACTATTTGAGGTATTTGAAATCGATTTGCGC